GAGGCTCTAAACAATCAAAATAAAGCGCACTTTTAAATATTATTGAGGAATGGGCTTTCAATACTGAAAATCTTTGTGATTGTCTTGAAATATATTTTAATCTTTAATTATAAAATTTAAAGCTTTAAAAATAGTGTAGATCAAGTAGATCTATGAAAACTTGAAAATCTTGAAAATTGGCGATCCAAATATGCGTTACAAGATGCACTATTTTCGAAACTTGAAATCCATTTTTTTTCTCATGTCCATGCATCTTGATGTCTAGATGATCAGTTTGAGTATATTTGGGCATCAAAACAATCTTTTGTAGTGAAATTTCTGAGGTAGGCTCTAATTTGATTGTTTAGAGCCTCACTCTCATAAAAGGGACTTGCCCGACTAAGGATGGGTTACTTGTGTGAAGAGTCTCAAGTGTCTCTGAAGAGTCTCAGTGTCCATTAATTGATATGAATATACAGACTTGTCTTTAGATAAATTACAGATGACACTAATATATGCTAAATCATAGACACCTAAACTATACCTAGACTTACCATAAAATACAAGACACAATATCATACCCTTCCCATATTTACTGATTACAATATATGCCTTTTATATTAACCGGATATACAATATATACTTTCCTTTCATATCTGGGACCTAGTTTGGGTCTCCGCTCGGCCCATGGTGGGGTTTTGTGCTTGTGTCGGGCAATCCTACCCTGGTAAAAAATCTTTTACTTAGTGACACAACCCTACCCATCAACTTTCACTTTTAATGGTTGTAGTTAGTTGTAAATAGTATCACAAAATATAATTCCTTATTTTTTTTCTTTTCCACATTTCCCCTTTTTCCCTTTTGCCTTTGTTTGTGTAAAATATTGCCGTTTCCTTTATAAGGCTTGCCACAGTTATACAACAGAAATGCACTAACCCTTATTGTTTATTTTCTGCAGTTAATGTTTTTTTAAATTTGCTGACTCCAAATAATTGGGATAAGGCTTGGATGATGATGAATACTTCTAAACCTGGATTTTTTTGGAATAGAATGAAAGGGCTTGAAAGTGGAACTTGCAATCAGGTTGGGTTGCCAAAGTCTAGAAGTGTGACCTGATAATCAGGTCAGGTCCATGCCAAGCCTATGCAAGTTGGATTGTTGTATCTTATCCGAAACATATAATATTATCATATATCCATTTTTATTTTTCATATTTCGACATAGGTTGGGGCTTGTTCTAATGACCTAGACCGGACCGGGTTGGTTTGGAATTGGTCGCACCCTCTCACCTTGTGAGGCACTTCTAATATAGTTAAGGATGTTTTCTTGTATTTTTTGTTTTTGGGTAAATCAGTGGGAAGAAGGCTCCGTACCTATTTTTTATTAAATAATAACAAAAATTATAACTCACAAATTTACAACCTTATGTTAGGCAATTGCGTGATATCATGAAGTAAATGAAGAAAAATACAATCAAGTGGCCTAATCAGCCAAATGGTTGCATCAGAAAAACCGTGGCTTTTTCATTGAGTGTGTCGGCAACCGTAGATATGTAAATTATAGTACATACATCTAATAAATCTCCTTCTACAGTTGGCAGGAACAATGTGAAGACACCATGAGGCTCTGCATCCATCACTTTAGTAGAGAACAGCAAATTTAACTCAGTAGCAAGATCCCCTCGGCCTTGCTAGAAAGGAGATGACCCATTTACCAGAAAGTCCAACATTATTTTGATTCGCATAATTTTTAATATCCGTACAACATTGTTAATATCCGCAAGTCTTCCAAACAATTGACGTCGCAAATACTGGGTTTGACTTAACTCCACCACAATTGACGTCACGAGGCTCTTTCATGAAATATGCAAAATTATAAAATAAAAACCACGCCGCTGACAAAGGCACAAGTACACACGCCAGAGTAGATATAAAGTAAGAGGGTTTTATCATTACAAACTACAGAGAGAGGGGTTATGGCATGTCATGCCTTCCCTCTGCAATTAAGGAGCACAATACATAGCTCTCTTCCATTCCACCACCATTCCTCAAAGCCACTTCCATTACTACAGGTTAGTCACCTTTTCTTTTTTGTGTTGTTTTAGCTTCAAAAGTACTCTCTCTCTCTCTCTCTCTGTTTGTGTGTGTTCCGATATAAATGAATAAGATTATGGGTAACTCGATTACAGGCACGTAATTTTGCTATAGGCTCGTCACCAGAAAGACTCAAGTTTCGAATTCACAATGATGCTATCATTAGAACCAGAATTAACAGATTCATGGCCACAAAAGTGGAAGGAAAGTTATGTGTTCACAATGAAGAAATGGAAGTTAAACGGTGTATTGATGCAGAAGAAGGTGAAAATGGAGGGAGGATTGAGGGTGGGCGGCTTGAATCCTCACAAACTGAAGGTAATATGGATACCCACAAGGGGGAATTGATAATTGAAGAAAATAATGAGAAAATTGAGCTTACACCTTCATATTTTGAAGAAAGAATGGGAACCCAAAAGGAAACCGTGAAGATTCTTGGCTGTTCCAATGACCAAAATACTAAAAATATAGGAAAAACCAATCTTTGCAGGGTTGGACCATCACTAATGGGAGAAAAGATGAGAATCCACATTGAGAACATGGAACTTCAAGCTTTTCTAAATGAAAAAAGCGCTGAAAATAATGGAAATATCCAGAAGATGAAGATTAGCCCTTCGTTCAAAATGGAGGAGAACACATCAACGAACAATTTGGAATTCAAAAGCAGAGGAGCTTTTAGAGAGAAAAATGACGGTCCTGAAAGAGACCCAAGTCTTTACATTGAGCTTTTACGCCAGTGTGCGAGCAGGGGAATGCTTATGGAAGGAAAGGGATATCATGGGTGCTTGATAAAAACTTTTTTGGGCTTAGAAAATATTTTGTTATTTAATTTCCTGGCGCATATGTATGCCAAATGTGGAAGTTTAGAAGATGCTCACCGGATATTTGATGAAATTCCTGAGTATAATGTGTTCTCTTGGACTGTTATGATTGTTGGTTACACCCAAAATGGGTTCCCTGAGGAAGGGTTTAACTATTTTGTTGAGATGGAGGCAGCTGGAATTCAACCTGATAAATATGCATTTTCAGCAGCTCTTCAGTCCTGTGTAGCCTTAGGAGCTCTTGATAATGGTAAAATGGTCCATGCCCAGATTATTAAAAGTCGTAATTCTATCCATGCATATGTGTGCACTTCTCTTATGAATATGTATGCGAGGTGTGATGTAATCGAGGATTCATCAAGAGTCTTTGAGACAATGGCTGATCCCAATCAAGTCTCTTGGAATGCTATGATATCGGCATATACTCAGAGGGATTATCATAAAGAAGGTTTGGAATTGTATTCAAAGATGGTCAAGCAAGGTGTCAAACCAAATTTGTACACCTTTGCCTGTGTCTTGAAAGCTTGTGGAAAGCTAGGTGCTCTTGCAGAGGGCAAAAATGTCCATAAGTATGCAAAGGAGCTCGATTTGGAGTCTAATAGTGTTGTTGGGACTGCTCTTATTGATATGTATGCAAAGTGTGACTGCTTATCTGATGCAAGAATGGTCTTCGATAAGCTTGCAGATAATGGTGATAATGTACCATGGAATGCCATGATCTCCGGTTATGCTCAAAGTGGGTTTACTTCTCAGGCAGTTGATCTCATTATTCAAATGCTAATGAGAAGCATAAGGATTGATTCTTTTACATATGGTAGCATCCTTAATGCTTGTGCAGCTACAAAACATTTGGGACTAGGAGAGGGGATACATGGCATTATTATCAAAACATGTGACTACTTGAATGATTTAGCTGTGACTCATGCTCTAGCTGACATGTATGCTAAATGCGGGTGCTTGGAAGAGGCGGTCATGGTTTTTGAAGAGATACCTGAGAAAGATGTCATTTCATGGACTACTATGATTACTGCATATGCTCAAAATTGGCAAGGGGACAAAGCAATGGAAATGTTTTCAAAGATGAGAATGGAAAATTTAAGCCCCAATCAGTTCACTTTCTCCAGTGTCCTTATGGGGTGTTCTGGCCTTTCTTTATTAGAGTATGGTGAACAAATCCATGGACTTGTTTATAAATTGGGATTCAATGAGTATGCATGTGTTGGGAGTTCTTTGATAGACATGTATGCAAAATGTGGGTGTGTATTGGGTGCTCGTAAGGTTTTTAAGAGAGTATCGGACCCTGATGTCGTGTCTTGGACATCCATTATTTCAGCCTATGCCCAGCATGGTCTTGCAAATGAGGCACTTCAACTCTTTGATGAGATGGAACTCACCAGTATCAAGCCAAATGGCGTCACCTTTCTCTGTGTTCTATTTGCTTGTAGTCATGGGGGGTTGACGGATAAGGGCCTTTACTATTTTCAGTTAATGAGAGAAACATATGGAATTATTGCTGAAAAGGAGCACTATGCATGCATTGTGGATCTTTTAGGACGTTCAGGACGCCTTGATGATGCACTTGAGTTCATTAAAAATTTGCCTGTTGTTCCAAGTCCCTTGGTTTGGCAAACACTGTTAGGTGCTTGTAGAGTCCACGGCAATGCTGAGTTGGGCAAGCTTGCAGCAGGGCATGTCCTCTCTTTTGAACCAGAAGATTCGGCAGCTTATGTGCTTCTTTCGAACACATATACATCATTGGGAAGTTTGGAGATTGGGATTAGTGTGAGAAGCCTGATGAGAGAGAGAGGTGTCAAGAAAGAGCCTGGCATCAGTTGGATTGTGGTTGGAGGAAGGGTTCATAAGTTCTATGTGAGGGATGGGAGACACCCTAGAAGAGACGAAATTTATGCCAAATTGGGAGACTTACTAGACAAAGTTAAAACAGCGCGATATGTACCTGATCTAACATTTGTATGACATGATTTTGGGGGGGTGACTAATGAAGGTGGTGGTCTTTTTGATATTTAGCTGGAGAGCTTGATCTTTATTTTAGTTGACCTTTCCTGATGTTTTAAGATATTAGCTGTGAAGTGATGGTGGGAAGGGAGTTGAACCTTGCCTCGGAGGTATTCTTTTGAATAAACCCTCGATTAGTTGATACAGTTTATGGAGATCCATCTTGTTTAGGAGTACTGCTTCTTTGTGTTTCAGCTTCCTGTTAGCTCTAGTATTCTTGACGTTTATCCATGATATTAGTTTTTTTTTTTTTTTTTTCAGATATGCAACTTCATCTTTTTGAAGCATTTGCATTGGCCCATCATTTGAGCACAAATAACAGCACAAATAAATCAATATTTTGGCTTCTTTGTGCTCAAGATAAAGTTGGCATCAACATAGAGATATCTATTTTGGAAGCATCGGTGTTCATCTACGGCTGCAACAAGTGAATTTGTGAGGCAAGTATCTTGAAGATCAGGGGCCAATTCATGAACTTTGATCAACTAAGTTGCTTCTATGCCACTCTTTTGCTCAGAGATTGATTCCAACATAATATTTAGAGATATGAGTAAAATTAACTTGATATCTTCCACTATACTTCTTTCAGCTTTTATGGACGGATAATGTGGATACTGTACCAGTGAAGGAGATATTTCAGTTTTCTTTTCAAAGAATTAAAATAATTGAAGTTATCATTAAGTATGTAGTAGACCATAGCTGCGTAAAGACATAGTTTTTTTAAAAGAGTTTAAAATCGCTGCTGCGTGTTTCCTATGGGCCTCCTTGTAGCTAGAGATCCCACTAAACTAGGATAAAGTGATTGAATTTGACCATTGTCTCATCTTAATTCAACACATTGTCATGCCTTTCATTAAAGTGCCCCCTTCCTTTTCTTGATAGGATTTTAGTTTCTTTTTTGGGAAAAAATCTATAGTACTTTCCCCATTAGTAGTTTTTTTTAGATTGGTCTTATATTCCCTGATTTTTGTTGTCTTATTTTAGGGTTCATTTGATACATGTTGTGTGCCATGCAGCTTTGTGATGTCCTGGATTGTCGAAACTCGGAAAGTGATTACTGGTTGTGTTTGTTCCTCTTGATTTTCACGTTTCTATTATCTAGTTCTTTGCTGATTATTTAGTTGGGATCACATTCAAGTCCATTGGTTTTCCTTTGAACTCAATGTGGACCCCATCTACGTATCGAAAGTATGGCATAAACATCTTGTGTATGGTATCCCTATTTACTGGCTGGGCATTGACCATCCAATCTCAAGATGACGGTGCAGATGAACTAGACACTAGGTGAATGTCTATCATAGCAACTATGGTTCATCTCCACCATTAAATGTTGACTAGGGATATTGTACTCACTGTCTGTATGGTATATCTCCATATAGGCACAAAAGCCTGGTTATTGAACTATTTGAAAGTAGAACTTCCCCATGTATATTTGAAGCTGGATCAATAATCCTGCATGGATCCATATTGCACATTTCTTGCTTTTACTTGGAAATCCATGGATTTGTTTTGCATCAAGTAGACCATTATCATATATTTACCTTTCCTCTATATTTTGATCCCCATTTACATTAGTTTCAAAGACTAAATTTGGGAGAAAATATGAATTTAGCTTTCCATCACACTACTTGTGGATCATTTAGAGACCCTTTTAGTTTCTTTCATTTTATCATTCTTTTGCAATTTCTTATGCTTAGTGATTTCTATCCAATTCATCATTTAGTTGGACATTTGACTGTTGCTAACTTGTCCAGTAAACATGTGCACATGTCCCTTGTTAGTTGAATATCTTACTTGGTCCTGTTTTTGTGCAGTAATTTCTAGAAGGTGAGCTTTCGCTTTAAATCTTGGTGAATTTGGCTCTAATTTGGACACTATCGACATTCAAGGCATGGACATTTGGGGAAGTAAAAGCTGTTCAATTTGTTTATAATTAGGTTGAGTGTTGGAAACTCATAAGGTGCTGTAACAATTCCCAAAAAGTGCATCCTGAGGCTTGATGCGCCCCAAACGCAATGAAGTCGGGGTTGGGGTATAGCTCCTAATTTCTCTCTCTCCTTCTCTTGTATCAAAAGTGTGCATCGTATTTCATTAAAGATGATTTTAGTTACTAAGATTCACTCGTTTAGTGAGCTTAATGTATCTGTAACAATTCCCAAAAGTGCATCCATGAAATATGAAACAATCTAGGTGTAATTGTGTGCCTCAAAATTCAATTTTAAAAGCGAGGTTGTTTTTGTTTCTCAACACTATGCAGGCATTATTATTATTTGAGCAAAACAATGCATCTAAGAAAATTAAAAATCTTTCTAAAGTGGTCCATTGTATCATAATGGTTAGTGACCAGTTGACCAACAAATCATCTCTCTGGAAAATATTTTTTATGTGCAGCCCTTGCATCAATATTACCTCTTAATATCATCAATACACAGCATGAACAATTTATGCGCATGGATATGGAAAGGTCTGTAAGGCTACCTGCATTTGCAGATCCATTTTGATTATTTTGGCCCCTTTTTTTTCAGTCAAGATTTAAACTTATTTATCGCTTGTGACCTTTACAAAATTGTGTGACAGTAGCTAGAACTTTGGAGAAATGAATTGATCCGAAGCCTTTTGGGCTACAAAAATTTGATGGTGATGGGCTGGGCATAAAATTGTATAAATCAGAAACAAACAGGATTCCTCTGCACAATATGTATTATGTGACTCTGGCAAGTGTGGTGCATATCGGTGGGTGGGTGTGAATTTGACTTGGTAACCAGAGATGGTCATCCACCCCATTCTTCGCTATGGTATCAGCTTAGTCGTTAGCTTTCCTCCAGAACATGGCTAAAAGTAACCGAAAGTGTTGAAAAAAAAAAGGTATTTGATCTAGCACATACTCCATGGTTTTGCTTTTTCTATCTTAGCCCAGAATATTGTGGTTGATGAATGTCTTTATTAATCAAGTTTTTCTCCCACCTGCTGTCAAAAATTTTGAGTCCAATTAGAAGGGCTTGGGACCTCAGCTTGGATGGAGTCACACTTCCCACTTAGGGCATGAATAGGTCCAACATGACATTAGTGGCCCTTCTATAGACCCCAATTCCGGAAGGGTCAGGGTTGCCCATCAAGCTTCCGCAAATTTCGACTTTTTTACCCTAGGGTATGGGGGCTTGCTAACACGAAGATCTGGTGTCCTCTGTGAGTCTGGAATGGAGAATAGTCAGTCAATTGTGATTGAAATAGATGGCTGAAAGTCCCTGGGATTCTTTCCTACTAAGGCCCAAAAGATGATAAGCGATTTGATCCAATCCTGATTGCTTACCATTCTAGACTCTGCTTTGAAAGATTCTTCTATATCTTTCTAACCAAATGGGATGGAATCACTCCAAGAATTGAAAGGCAACATAATAAAGTGCTTCAAGGCCAAAACCAAATGATTATGCTTGTGGGAATTTGATAAAGTGCTTCAAGATCAAAACCAAATGATTATGGTTGTGGGACTATGGATAAACAAGTGTTTATTTGTTTTTCTATAGGGTTTTTGGGAACCCCTCGCTTGCGAAATCGGGAATCCCAAATACTAGGATCCCATCTACGAGCTTGTACATGATTGGCTAAATGCGAAGTAAATGAATACAAATATAAATTGAATGCAATAAATAAAGCAAACATAAAAATCACATCACAACAACACACAATTTACGTGGTCTATTCCGTAGGGCTACGTCCACGGTCTCGACAACTAGAAATCCACTCTCATAATGAAGATTATAGTTTTGGGTAACAAGAGATATACGTCTCTCTAAACATCGGTAAAAAACCATCACCGGTCTTCCTTTCTAAACCTGCTCTCCTAACCAAGTAAAACTGTCGATCAATACATTTTTTTCCACTGCAATACTGCGACCAAAATGATAACCTTGAGAGTAACCGAGATACTTTCTCTATCTAGAAGTGAAAACCTTACCAACCCAAAATTCACGAGAATACCACTTCTCTCTCGAAGGCCATGTCTCTCTCTCTCTTGGAGACCCATCTCCATATTGGAGATCCATTCCCATAAACCCCAAAGGGGTGACCATCAAAAAACGGTTATTATGTCTTCCTTAACCCATTATATAGAAATTACTTTCTTGCTTCCCAAAATAGTCCCTTCTCATTTTACCATAATACCTTTAATCTTTAGAAGAAATTATGGGTACAGTGATTTGGCAATCACCAAACCCAACAATCTCCACATTGATAGCAAAAATTCACCGTAATTTCCTTAGTGATCTTCATTAGATAAATTTCTTGATTTTTTCACACTTGCCTCCACTGTGGAATTTTCACAAACATTTTGCCTCCCTATTTCTCCACCTCAAATCATGTATCTATCAAACTTCAAGATTCATCTTTTTATTAATGTGAGCCTTAGCCCCGTACACACCTTGTGCTCTTGTACCAATTGTAGGGTTCTCGAGAACCCCTCGCTTGTAGAACTGAGAATCCCAAATTCTAGGATCCCACCCAACATCTTGTACATGACTGGCTAAATGCGAAGTAGATGATTACAACTATAAATCGAGTGCAAGAAGTAACGCAAACATAAAAATCACACTACAACAACACACAATTTATGTGGTTCACCCTGTAGGACTACATCCACATCCTCGACAACTAGAAATCTACTATCATAATGAAGATTACAGTTTTGGGTTACAATAGACATACCTCTCTTTAAACATCGATAAAAAACCATCACCGATCTTCCCTTCTAAACCCGCTCTCCCGACCGAGAAAAACCATTGATCAATACCTTATTTCCCACTGTAATATTGCTACCGAAAAAATAACCTCGAGAGCAACTGAGAGACTTTCTCTATCTAAAAGTGAAAGCCTTACCAACCCAAAACTCAATGAATACTACCTCTCTCGGAGGTCGTGTCTTACTCTCTTAGAGATCAATCTCCATATTGGAGATCCATTCTCATAACCCCCAAAAAGGTGACCCTCAAAGGATGGGTATTATGTCTTCTTTAGCCTATTATATAAAGATCACTTTCTTGCTTCCGAAAAAAGTCCCTTTTCATTTTACCATAATATCTTTAATCTTTAGAAGAAAAGACGGGTATGGTGATTTGGCTATCACCGAACCCAACAATTTACACCTTGATAGTGAAATCACCATACTTGCCTTGACGACCTTCATTAGGTAGATTTCTTCGCACTTGCTTAGATTGTAGAATTTTCACAAATAGATTGCCTCAATATTTCTCCACCTCAAACCATGTATCCATGAAATTTCAATATTTCTCTTTTTCTCAATGCGAGCCTTAGCCCCGTATACACTTTGTGCTCTGATACCAATTGTAGCGTTCTCGAGAACCTCTCACTTGTGGAGCCGGGAATCCTAAATACCAAGATTCCACCCAATATCTTGTATATGAATGGCTAAATACGAAGT